ACCCCATGAAGGAAGTCCAATGGATAGAAACAATCCATATGGCGTGACTCTTTAGCACCGTGGATGAGAAAATATCCTAAGAGGAGATATTTTCATGCTCATCCCTATGGCAGAGGTGCATATGTAGTGTGACGATAAGGAAGGATTTTATCTTGAATGAGACCAAGGCAGGAACACTCATGCAGGGTATTGTGCACATGTAACCTTGGAGGGCTCACCTAACTGAGAGTAGTTGTGAGGCCGCGACTATGAGAATTGAGCTATTCTTTAGAACCTCTCATGAAAATCAAGATTAAGTGTAAGGCCATTAAACGCACTAACCCATGAATCTTGACCAATATCGGTACTGTGTGTGTAATAGTTGAACTCTGGCTCAAAAAGTCTAGTTCAAGTCTTTGGTCACTATGATTCTTTAGGGAGAAAATGTCAACACTAAGTGAGGTTCAAGTGCGAAAAAAACTTACACCCATTGCACCGTATTATAGTTGCCCTAATTTTTCTATGTTCATTTTATGCTTATATATGTATATATGTATAAAATTATATTTATCATTAATATTCAAAATTTTAAAACTTGTGGGGGATTATTGAAAAAAATAATAATAAAAGCTTTAAAATTTTTCATTTAATTTATTTTATATGTTTTAATGAATCACTTTTAATTTAGAATTTAATTGAATTTTTATATGATTTAATTGAGTAATTATATTTTGTTTTAATTGGGCATTTGAATGCCTTTATGTGGTGGGGGTTACTAGATGGTAGACCTTAAAAGCCCAAGTACATATAAAATGAGCTCATACTAACACATCTAATGGATATATATATGTGTTTTTGTAGTATGTATCTTTTTTTCATATATATTATAGATGTATCTTCCGATTATGGTTTTGGGTAACTTCGATTCGAGTTAGATTCACTCCTTTCTTCTAGTGGACATGACCATTGAAGAGGTGCTACTGCGAGCGTTTGAGTTTGATTTTGGAGTCGCTGGTGTCCGTCAGTACCCTCACGCGGGGAGGCTCATCTACTCTAGGACAGTGTTCACACGACTCTCGGACTCGCAGACCAGTTCTTTCTAATTTATAGTATCTATTTTATTCCATTTTAAATTTATTGTTATTTTGTGTTTGTTTATGTGATATTGATATTAATTTAATAATTAAGATTATGTATAATTATGCTAATTTTTTCCAACAGTCACATCATCAGATTAACAAATTAA